TTGGGTTTCCAAGGCAGTGTCACATTTTTGGGTATTGGTCCCTTCACATTGGATGAATTATTTTATCTTGAGATTCTAAATGAGTTCTTTAAATGAGGTATAATTGGAAGTGGTAATATTCAGTCAGTATAAAATCATGAGAATTTTTTTTTGAGTTATATTAATTGCCACGGACATTGACAGTCTAAAGTTATCTTTGGTACTGTATAAGGTATTGTACGGCTGCAGAATATAGGACTTGCCAAAATTTCTTTTAAAATATAGGTACCTTTTGTTTGTCTTTCCCATTCCCTTCTCCCCCAAATTAGAAGCTTCTTTGTCATACTTTGTATATATTAGACACTTAGGTAATTGTTAAGTGATCTTGATGTGAAATAATTTTATAATAGGCATTACTTTATACAGATACCTACTTTTATTGCTTAATCCTCATGAGAGAACTTCATTTGTGTCATTTCTTTGATGTCACAGATAGAATGTACTTCATCATATATCTAACCCTATCAGTGGTGTAAGAGTATGTGAAACACTTGTCATCTATGTGTTGGACTTAAGAATATTCATCTAATAGTTATTATTGCTATGTTTTAATTTTGTTGAAAGAGTTATTTTGAAGACAGAAGGCAATTGGCTGCATTCAGCAATTGAACAAAGACACAACACTAAAAAGGGAATTTTTCAAATTTTTTATTTAATCAAAGTCAAAATTATTGAATTACTGAAGCACACAATAATCAAAAGATAGTAAATTCTTAAAACTATTGTTATAACCCAATTCCATTGAACCGTGTCTTGATTTCATACTTTTATCATGGTTGCCAAGAATTGAAATCTACTTAATAGCAACAAACAGTAACAACAAAAACAACAATAGTTTGTATCTTAATTGATGTAACTCAAAGCATTAAATAGCCATCTCAACCAAAGATCACTAGATGCTTTGTTTCAGAGCTAAGTTGTCTGCCCTGGAAAGTAGTTCCCAGAACTTAGATGAGATTGGAAAAGACATTGGTGAGCTTGAAGGACTTCCCTCAAAATGTCCTTCATAGAGTGAAGGAAAATCTCAATTTATGTTGGCCTACATGTTGCCATGGAGAAGTTGTACACTCCAACTACCTGAAAGTGCCTTTATGAGTACCAGTTACCGATTAGTTGAGAAAGTGAGCATAAATATAACTGCTGTTCGTTGTTAACACATTATGCCTGTGTAAATTTCTAGTAGTGGCATGGTGATTGTTGCCTTTTAATTGCTTAGGCCCCAAACATATTGAATAACATCCCATGTTTTCAACAGGAAAAAATGCTCCAATCCAGTATGCACTCATCTCTCACGTATGAGTAAAGGTAGTATAATAGGTATACTAATAATTTAAGTTTGAGAATATATATAGTTTTTATAAGTTAATTTGGATTATACATAAAATATTTTTTAAGCTAAAAACATGTTTTCTAAATTTACAGTCACTTAATGAAATCTATCATTTTTCCTGCTGTACATTATATAGGTAACAGTGTGCAAATGGAATGATTAAGATGGTAACTAATAATTCCTTTGATGATCATAGAAGAGTTACCATCCCCATTTTTAAGGATAAAAAAACCTATGATTTAAAATTTTACTTCAAATTCTGCTTTTATTAATGGCAAAAAGCAGGAGACTGGGTCTTTATATGATTGTAGCTTAGGACACCTAACTTCATATTAGCCATGCTAATTGAGGCCTAGGTAAAATAACTCAAATATAACAGCTTTGGGGACTTTAATGAAGAAGAAGGAAACTTTCAAGAGAAAGTTATCAGGAGTTGATGATTAAAAGAGACTTAGAAATAATACTTGTCACACTCAAAATATGAGATAATAGATTTTTACTTAAAAGCATAATAGAGTCCCAAATGCAAATATACTTGAGCCTTTGTTCTCCACATAATTATTACATTTGTTGTTCCTTTTTAGGTTTAAGGAGTAAGTATAGTTACGAAATAATTGATAATGTTTCACTGCTATTCATAAGGCTTTCACTGGCCAATTTTTTTCAGAAGTGAATGGTCCTATACTTCCCAGTCCACTGTAGTCTGGAAGCTCTGTTGAAAACTGCCCACGAAGTGTGACCCTGCAGGTATTTGAAATACCAGTGGCATAGCTTCCAGCCCCTTAGCAACAAGTAAGCCACCACAGCATGACAAAGAGACAGACAAATAAGTCCATGAGAGCCAAAATAAGACCTTGATTATATCCCTGAATTTAGAGACCATCTGAAAAATAAATTTGATGCACTGAACATCAATGACAAAACCAGACGAATTGTGGGATGAGATCAAGAACATCATATATGAAGAAAGCAAAAGATCACTGAAAAGACAAGAAAGGAAGAAAAGACCAAAATGGATGTTAGAAGACACTCTGAAACTTGCTCTTGAGAGTAGCTAAAGCAAATGGAAGAAATGACAAGTAAAACAGCTGAACAGAAGATTTCAAAGAGCAGCTCAGGAAGACACAGTAAATTATTATAATGAAATGTGCAAAGACCTGGAGTTAGAAAACCAAAAGGGAAGAACATGTTGGGCATTTCTCAAGCTCAAAGAACTGAAGAAAAAATCTAAGCCTCGTGTTGCAGTATTGAAGGATTCCATTGGCAAAATGTTGAATGATGCAGGAAGCATCAAAAGAAGATGGAAGGAATACAGTCACTTTAGAAAAAAGAATTGGTCTGTGTTCAGCTATTTCAGAAGGTGGTATATGATCAATAACCAATGGTACTGAAGTAGGAAGTTGAAGCTGCCTGGAAGGAATTGGCCAAAAACAAGGCTCCAGGAATTGACAGAATACCCATTGTGATGTTTCAACAAATGGATGCCAGGCTGGAGGCATTTACTCATCTATGCCAAGTAATTTGGGAGACAGCTACCTGGCCAACTGACTGGAAGAGATCAATATGTCTGCCCATTCCAACAGAATGTGGAAATTATCAAACATATCATTAATATCACACACAAGTAAAATTTTCCTGAAGATATTTCAAAAATGGCTGCAGCAGTATATTGACAGGGAACTTCCAGAAATTAAAGTGGGATTCAGAAGAGGACATCAAATAAGGGATATCATTGCTGATGTCAGATGGATCTTGGCTCAATCAAAGCAAAGAATACCAGGAAGATATTTACTTATGTTTTATTGACTATGCAAAGGCATTCAACTGTGTGGATCGTAACAAGTTATGGATAACATTGTGAAGAATGGGAATTCCAGAACACTTAATTGTGCTCATGAAGAGCCTGGACATAGATCAAGAGGCTGTCATATGAACAGAACAAGGGGACACTGCATGGTTTAAAATCATGAAGGGTGTGCATCAGGGTTGTATCCTTTACCATACTTATTCAATCTGGATGCTTTGCAGATGAGCCGAGAAGCTAAGCTATATGGAAAAGAACACGGCATCAGGATTGGAGAAAGACTCGTTAACAAGCTGTGATATGCAGATGACACAACCTTGCTGAAAGTGAAGAGGACTTGAAGCACTTACTGATGAAGATTAAAGACAACAGTGCAGTATGAATTACCCCTCAACATAAAGAAAATGAGAATTCTCACAACTGGACCAATAAGCATCATCATGATAAATAGAGAAAAGATTGAAGTTGTTGCAAAGATTTCATTTATTTGGATCCACAAACAACATTCATGGAAGCAGCAGTCAATTAATCAGTTGTCATACTGCACTGGGCAGATCGGCTGCAAAAGGCCTCTTGAAAGTACTGAAGAGCAAAGATGTCACTTTGAAGACTAAGGTGTGCCTAACCCAAGCCATGGTATTTTCAGTCACTTCGTGTGCATGTGAAAGCTGGACAATAAATAAGGAAAACTGAAGAGTTGATGCCTTTGAATTGTGGTGTAGGTGAAGAATACTGAAGATACCACGGACTGCCAGAAGAAAGAACAAATCTGTCCTGAAAGAAGTACAGCTAGAATACTCCTTGGAAGTGAGATTGGCCAGACTTCTTCTCACCTACTTTGGTCATGTTGTCAGAAGGGACCATTCCCTGAAGAAGGATATCACACTTGGTAAAGTGGAGGGTCAGTGAAAAAGGGGAAGACCCTCAACAATATATATTGATACAGTGGCTACAACAGTGGGCTCAAGTATAACAAAGATTATGAAGATGGTTCATGACCAGGCAGTGTTTGTTCTGTTGTACATAGGATCTCTATGAGTCCTAGCTGACTCAACGGCACCTAACAGCAACAACAATATAGTTGAGGAAAGGTCCTTGGGTTGTACAAACAGTTTGCTCTAGGCTACTAATTGAAAGATTGGCAGTTCAAATCCACCCAGTGGTGCCATGGAAGAAAAACCTGACAATCAGTAAGATTTCAGCCAAGAAAGCCCTTGAAGCACAGTTCTACTCTAAAGCACTTGGGTTCACCATGAGTCAGGATTGACTCAACGGCAGTGGATTGTAATTTTTCTTGGTTGTATTGTTTTATAATTGAGAAAAACTGTGGAAGGGAATCCATTTTCCTAATTCTTCCATCTCTAAACCAGAATTCAAGGTATAATACAGAAAGGAGAAGAAACTTTTCATTGGGGAATTATTTCTCTTACAACGTTTGTGAGGAAATTGAGACCATTCTTCCCTTATTTACTTTGATTTTAAACCTTTCTGGGTATCCAAGAACAGTTCCAAAGTTAGAACTCCCTTTCTTTGGCATTTTTCAGCTAAAAGACTAAATTCAGAAAGGTAGAGTAATTTGATGTTTTATATGCAAGAACATATAATAGAGTGGTAGGAAATAATCGAAATAATTTTTTTTTTTCTAAAATGTATGATTATAGGTTAGGGTATGACTTTCCTTCTCTCACGGGAATAAAGACATGATGGCATATTTGACAGGTAATGAGTTGGGGCATATTCCTTGGTAATTCCTAGTCTTGAGAACCACAGTTTGCTGTTTTAGAGGTATCTGAGAGGTTCCAGATAAGAGGTGATTGCTGAGTGTTCTTAGGCATTGAGTGTGCTGGATGCTCTGAAGTAGGAGAGGAATTTATAACAGAAGCTCACAATGAAGAACCAGACATTCCGAGCTATCTGAGATCTTGCAATGAGTAGGCGCCAGACGATGAGGAAGAGGGCAGTATTAAAGAGGTAGTGAATGTTTCTGAGCCTGGGGAACAGACAGACATAACCAAAGTTAAAACAGTTATGTTATCTGAAGCATAAATGTGTCTTTCCTGGCTATGACCAGCGAATATTTATTAAGTGCTCACAGAGGATGTGGTATGACTGATAACCTAGTGACCTCTTCTTTGCTTTTATCATCCATTTGTACACAATTCCACAACATTCTCTTAACTAGTTTCTTTCTCATGTTCCTTACTACTACAACATGTTATCATCATTCTTAAGTATACTTTGATATTACCATATCACAAATTTTCACTGGTTCTTTTTCATTAAAAGGTAAGTCTAAAGTCTATAGCCTGTTACTGAAAATTTTACCTAATCAGTTTGCAGTCTCAGTTTTTACCCTTTATTCTCTGCAATAATATCCCTTTGCTTGTGCCAGAAATACATCACACTGGTATAATTCTTTTTCCTGCAGAGATTACTGATGGAAGAAGTTGAAGAAATTGAAGAGTGGTTAAGTGATTTGTCCAGCTTAAATCCCAGAATTAGATCCCCTGCCAGTTATCTGGGTATTCTTTTTCTGTATTACATTATGATAGGGTGTGGCAGAAGAAACAAAACTTGGGTTCATGTTCTGGCTCCTGTACTTCCTGTGTGTTACCATGAACAACTTACTTACTCATTTGAACCTAAATACTTCTTTTGTAAAAATGAGATAACAAAAAATAGTATTATCTGCCTCCTAGGGATGTGATGAAGAGTAAATGAAACAACGTATAGCCCAGAGCACAGGACTTATAGTAGTGCTCAAGAGGGAGCTCTGGTGGCATAGTGCCTAAGGCATTTGACTGCCAACCAGAAGGCTGGCGGTTCAAACCTACCAGCCACTCCTTGGAAGGAAGGTTGGGCGATCTACTTCTGTAGTGATACTGCCTTGGAAACCCAAGGAGGGTTCCTTATGAGTCAGGTCCAACTTGACGGCACATAACAACAACAGTGTGCAAGAAATATGAATTACTGCCGTACACTCAAATTTCATGTCTTACATGAAATTTACACCAGCTGCTCTGTGGGAAAAAGATGTGTCAGTCTGCTTCCATAAAAGTTTTACAGCCTTGGAAACCCTATGGAGCAGTTCTCTCCACCCTATAGGGTCCCTGTGAGTTGGAATTGACTCAATGGCAGTGGGTTTGGTTTTTGGATGTACTTACTTTTTAAAGTGTTGCTTTGCTTCTGGGATCTTAGCCATATCCTCTTTCAATAAGTACATCTTAATTCCCAAAACATAATTTTCAATGTATTCCATCCAGTTCAAGTGGCGCACATCAAAGTTGAATAACTGGAAGGCAAGAAGAAATTATGATTACCAAAATCATTGGATGGTCACTTTGTCAATTTGATGAAATCTACATAAATGAGTGATGACATTCAGTCTGAGACTTAGGTTTGGACCCTTCCAAAGAAGAGATTATTTGAGCTGTTATTTAAAAAGGCACCAACAATATGAATGACCATGTAAACAGAAATGTGTTAACATGGACCAAGCAAATTCTTTTGACATTTAAGAAGTCTTGTGAGGAAAACTTAAGTGAACTGGTATTACTTAGGTGGAGAAAGCTTAAGAAAGTACTTAGACTTACAAGATTTCTTCAAAAAGAGATTATTTTTAAGCAAGTGAAGGAATAATGTTAGGGACCAAAAATAAATAAAAATAAGTTTTTATCTTCTTTCCTACTTTTAGGTCTTTTATTTTGGTGTTACCTTTTTGGTCTATCCTTTCCGACATCATCACCTCTCTATGCATATTAGGGAATAGGAAGCAAAACAATTTATATTTAAAAGACAGAGTGGCTGGAGGTGAAAGAAAGATGGATGGTGGGTGAGGAGGAGGGGCAAAGAGGAGGAGAAGAGAGATTGATTTGAGAAGGAAAACTTGTCATATAGAGGATAGATACTCAAAGTGACAACAGGATTTTTTTTTTAACTATGATTAAGTATGTATCATCCTTTGATCTTGAAAGACCAGGAAAAGATTTTAGTTGTTTTCAATAGATTTTATTTCTGCTACACTTTTCTTTGAAAATGATCCAATTTGCTGACATTGGATCATGAAGGAGGATTCTCCCTCCACCCCCTGCTGCAGTCAGACTCATAGCAACCCCTCCTCGGGTTTCACTACACAAGTAGATTGCCCAATCTTCCTCCCAGGAGTTGCCTGATGGGTTTAAACTGCTAGTCTTCTGGTTAGCAGTAAAATGCCTTAGGCACTATGCCACCAGAGCTCCTGAAGGAAGATTATGGGTGTTACAAATGGAGATAGGATAAGATAGGAAGAGAGCATTGATAGTTCATCTTTGAATCACCCAGGCATCTATTCAGAGTCTCCATAGAGCTTAATTGAGGAAAGAAAAGGAGAAAAAGGGCTTCAAATATAATACAAAAATGTTTTTGCTTGAATATAAAGAACTTGGGCAATAATAGTTGTCAAACCCTGGAAAAAGTGTCAGCCAGATAGTTGTTATAGCTATTTGAAAATATTAAAAAGTAGAAGGTAAATCCTGGAAGATTTCGGTATCAACTTGTTGAAATACTATAAAAAATTGCCATAGAATCAGGCCTCACTAATCACACAGGATAGATTTGCTTTTCAAGTTTTTGTTTGGTGGATTTGGAGAGAATAGCTGGAAAAAATGAACTGCACTAGGCGGAAAAAATGAACTGCACTAGGCAAAAAAAAAAAAAAAAAAGCCAATATTTAATCATTCTTAGTGAAAAAAGAAATGGTTGTGTTTTGTTTTCTAAATGTCTCAATCCTCCCCAATGGGCACCTTTCTTGTTCGAAATACAGCATTTTCAGATTACTTTTTTTCCTACTGCAGCCTGTTCTCAGTAGAGGCTCTGTCATGTACAGTGAGTGAGAGGTGATGGATAAGACTTAACTGAGTAAGCTTCTCATGAGGTTTCAGCAGGAAGAGTTTAAATCTTGGTAGCAAGAAAGTTTTCATTTAAATAACTGGTATTTCTAGAACAATGCCTGGCACAAAGTAGGCATTCAAAGAATATTTGCTAAAAGCATGAATGAATTATAGAATTTTAGTCAAATGAATTTTTACTATCAATTTTTAAGGACAAAAATGTTTGTTTTAGTTATATAGCAATTTCTCTGTTACTTGACCTTTATATAAAGGTTTATAGGGACATAACCAGATTAAACTTTTACTTTACTATTTTAAGAAAGCTAGAGTTCTCAATTGAGGCTTAGATTATACCAAATAAAAGACAAAAATTGTAAATAAATAAATGAGTACAAGCTGATCACCACCAAAAATAAAGCTTATTTACTTTAAAATAGCCACACTACTTTTTCAAATCTCTTATTTTCTAACCTGCATTTTTCTTCCAGGGTCTATGATTAGTTGTTTCCTCTTCTTTGGGACATAACAAACTTGTAAAGATTGTAATTGAGTTTGACATTTTAAAGATACAGTAGTTTTCTTAGAGCTACTTAATTCTGCCTCCTATGTTTTTTTATGCAAATACAAAAGTTATATATTAATTACAGAAAAACATCTTATACCTGGAAAGGGATCTTAGAGGGAAAGTAGCTAAATTATTAACTTTCCTATTTAACATTCTGAAGATAATTCATTAAGTATTTGTTTAATGAATGAGCCCTTTGGTGATTGGCTGTCCTAATTGCCTTTGGTGTTATCCTCTCAACTTACATGAAGAAACATAAAATAAAGGATTCTTTAGAAGTTGTTACTTTGAGACTCTTCTAGGAAGATGACAGCATGAGCAATTCTATTGTTCCATCCTCTAACATGACCACCAAGTAAAATAACCAGAAATTGGTTATCTTAACTCTAAGAGTTATGAAAAGCAATTGGAGGATTATAGCAGCTAAGCCAATGCTGAATCAACAAAAAAGCAATGTTTAATTGGCAGGAAAACTGTTAGTTTCTACTGGCTGCAGCCCTTCCACCTCTCCAGCTTGGTTGTGTGGCATGGGCAGTGGCAGCAGCAGCCTGCACTGTGCTCTCAGAGGATGAGCCTGATCTGGCCCTGTAGTGAGGAGAGCAGATTTTGGCTGGGGATTATGATAGGTCTCTGTTCTCATTTGTCTGGGGCCACCTGAAGGAAGAAGGGCACCCTCATCACTTTGTCCTGCCTTGGAGCAAACACAAGGGTGGGGTGGGGTGGGGACGATATCTAAAGGCTGTGAGTGCCTACAATGTTGGACTAAATAGTGTGATGTTAGGTGCCATCAAGTCAGTTCTTTCTTGTAGCAATCCTTTGTACAATAGAATGAAACACTGCTTGGTCCTTTGCCATCCACACAATCATTGCTGTGCTTAAGCCCGTTATTGCACACTCAGTCTATCTAGTTGAAGGTCTTCCTCTTTTTTTGCTGACCCTCTACCAAGCATAATGTCCTTCACCAGGGACTGCTCCCTCATGATAATATACCTTCCCTTCTCTGAAAAATTCTTGCTGTACTTCTACCAAGACAGATTTGTTTGTTCTTCTGGCAGTCCACAGTATACATGTTTAACATTTTTGTTCAGCACCATAATTTGAAGACATCAATTCTTCCATCTTCCTTATTCGCTGTCCAGCTTTTGCTTGCCTTTGAGGTGATTGAAAATACCATGGGTTGGGTCAAGTACAAATTAATCCTGAAAGGGACATGTTCGCTTTTAACACTTTAAAGAGGCCGTTTGCAGCAGATTTTTCCCAATGCAGAACATCATTTGATTTCTAGACTGTTCCTTCCATGGGCACTGATTGTGGATCCAAGTGAAATGAACTCCTTGACAACTTCAGTAGTTTCTCTGTTTTTCATTGGTGTTATTGGTCCAGTTGTGAAGTTTTTTTTTTTTTTTTTTTTTAATGTTAAGATAAACTCCGTACTGAAGGCTGTAGTCTTTAATCTTCATCAGGAAGTGTATCAAGTTCTCTTCACTTTCCATAAGCAAGGTTTTGTCATGTGCATATTGTAAGTTGTTAATGAGTCTTCCTCCAATTCTGATGCTGTGTTCTTCATATAATCCAGGTTCTTGTATTATTTGCTCAGCATACAGATTGAATAAGTATAGAGAAAGAATACAAACCTATCGTGATTTTAAACCATACTCAAAAAAAAAAACAACAACTCAGTGCCATTGGATCCAACTCGTAGCGACCCCTCCTTGGGTTTCTGAGGCAGTATCACTACAGAAGTAGATTGCCCAACCACCCTTCCAAGGAGAGTGGCTGGTGGGTTTGAACTGCCAACCTTCTGGTTAGCAGTCAAATGCCTTAGGCACTTTGCCACCAGAACTCCCAAGAGAAAATTAGCAGAGGATGGTTTTCTTGGTTTTTAAACCATACAGAATCCCCTTATTTTGTTTGAACAACTGGTTTTTTTTTGGTCTATTTACAGGTTCCATATTAGCACAATTAAGTGTTCTGGAATAATTTGTTCTGATCCACACAGTCAGATGCCTTTGCATAGTCAAGAAAACAGTTAAACATCTTCTGGTATTCTTTGCTTTCAGCCAAGATCTGTCTGACACATCAGCAATAATATTCCTAGTCCATGTGCTCTTCAATCTTCAAATGTTCCATTTCATTTTTGACAACTTCCAGTTTTCCTAGATTCATATTTTGTACAGTCCACATTGAAGGTCCTGAAAACTGCTCCATCCATATCATTAATGGTGACTCCACTTTGAGGGAGCAGCTCTTCCCCTGTCATATTTTTAGTGCCTGAGAGGCTCATCTTCTGGCAACTATATCAGATAGTCTTCCACTGATATTCACAAGGTTTTTACTAGCCAGTTTTTTCAGAAGTAGATCACCAAGTCCTCCTTCCTTATCTCTCTTTGTCTATAAGCTCTGCTGAAACCCTCCACCAGAAGTTACCTGCTGGCATTTGAAATACCAGTGGCATAGCTTCCAGCATCACAGCAACATGCAAGCCACTACAGTATGATATGCTGACCAGTAGTTGGTGGAAATAGTGTAATGTGAGTATACAATTAACAGCTAAGGGCTGAAGGAGAAGCCAGAGTGAGTTTCTTTCAGAAATTAGTGCTTTCAAAATCACCAAGTATATAAAGGAATTGAAAGCTATGTGCATGCTTAGGGTAAAACAAGTATGCAGACCTAAGTGTCCTGCTAGCAAGCCTAAGTATTGAAGGAGAGCCCAAGCACAAAGCCAAGTTACAAAGACTAGCAGAGGTGTTTGTGTCCCTTCCTCCATCCTCTGGAATATAAGGACATTTTTTTGAAACACTAGGTGGGTATGCACTGGAACTTAAAATCTTCACTGTTCACACAGGTGGGCTCTCATTGCTAAAATGGTTTGGGGAAGTCACTGAGCAGGCAAACTACTACAACCTTCAACAATTTAAAAAACAAAATTCCCAATCCTGAGGAATAGGAAAAATCTGACATTAAGAGCTAATACATTATATCCAAATGTCCCTGTTTTAACATACTATTACATGGCATATAAATAAACAGAAAGGATGGTCCATTCAAATGAGCAAAATAAAATGTCAGAAGCCATCCCTTTGGAAGCGCAGATAATGGAAAGGCTAGAAGACTTCAAAACAATAGTTTTGAATATTCTCAAAGAAAATATCAATAAAAATATATACACTATTCAATCATAATGATTTGTGCTGAAAATAAATAGTCATTGGAGGGCTGCAATAGCAGATTGGAGCTGGCAGAACAAAAAACTGAGGAGCAAAAAGAAAATAGAATGAAGAAAAGTGAACACAGCCTAAAGGAATTATGGGACATCATCAGGATGGGAGTTTTAGAAGGAGAAGGGAAAGCACCAGAAAGAATATTTGAAGAAATAATGGCAGAAAATGTTCCGTTTGAGGAAGGACATGAGTCTACACATCTAAGAAGCCTGATAGGCTTCAAGTCCCCCCAACACACTTAATATTAAATCTCTCAAAAACCTAAGATAAAGAGTGAATCTTGGAAGCAGTAAGAGACAAGCAAATCACCACATATAAAGGGTCTTCAATAAGATTAAGTGCAGATTTCCCAGAAACTTGGAGGCCAGAAGGCAATGGGATAATATATTTAAAATGCTGAAAGAAAATAATTATCAACTCAAAATTCTGTATCGAGAAATTCTATATTTGCCTTAAAGAATGAAGGTGAAATTAAGACATTCTCAGATAACCAAAAGTTGAGGAGTTTGTTATGACTAGACTTGCCCTGCAAAAAAAAAAAATAAAAGATCATGGGAATTCTTCAGACTGAAATGAAAGGGCACCAGACAATGATTCAAAGATATACATAGAGAAAACAGTTAAATTATAAAAATTTGAAATTGATAAAGGTAATTTCATGGACATATATAAGGACTAGTTTCATGGTATTTGTGCTTTGTAACTCTAGTTGGGTCTTGCATTTATTAAAACAACAAATGTGTAAAAAATAATCACACATCTAATTTATAAAGATGTAAGTTGTGATACCAATAGCAAAGATTTCAAGGCTTATCCTTTGTGACTTCCAAGAAGCTAATGTAAAGAAATAAGTGGCACTAATGCTAAGCAAGTAACAGGAAGGCCTGTCATGAGAAATAAAAGTCTAAATTGTCTAAGAGAAACCATTATAGAGAAGATTGAAGATGCCAGAGAGAGGGCAATACTGATGGAAGGAGGCCTTGAATGGAATAGAATGTACAGATAAAAGAGGTTAGCTTTGAAAAGATGTGAAGGAAAGAAATGTAGCTGTGGAGATGCAGAACAATTTTGATTAGACAAAGAGTGGATAAGAGTTTAATAAAGTCATTCTTTTTAATTGAAGTTTTAAGTTGTGGAAAGTAAGGGAAAGATAGAGGTATTGAGGGTTGAACAGATGACAGCTACTGAGACATTAACAAGGGGAAAAAGATGAAACAGATGACTGCAGAAAAGCAGTAAGCCTCTAGCCAAAGTTGAATAATCTAGGACTTTTACCTACATGAAAATTGTCTTCCTGCGGTTGTGTTGAGAACACTGACTTATTTTTTTAGCAAAAAAAAAACCCCTTTTTTTTCTATGTATATAACTCTATATATAATGTATATATAAAACTTTTGTTTATCAGCTTCTGAGATTAAATAATTCTAAATTCCATATGAGTAAGATTTTCCTGTTTCAGTCAGTGCTGTACTTACTTTCTGATCTTCAGGACTAAGCTCAAACATGAGCATTTCTGTATTGTATGTACTCCAGTCCCAACTCCGGTTGATGAAATACTCGAGCATGGAAAGGGTTCTTAAAAGCCGATTCATGAGCTTTGTCATCCTGAGGTAGAGATCAGATAGGAACAAATCTCAACAGCACCACAGCTATCTGCTTCCATGTCACTCTCTCTATTGGGTTTTACAACAAATTATTTTTAGAAAATATAAAAATTATCCCTTTCTCCCAGCCTCTCATTAGGATTCTCATTATTTTTCTTCCACATAACTGTTGAATGAAGGAAAAGGTATGAATCTAAAGGAGCTTGTTCTTTCAGGCATTTTAATACTGACTTATTTTAAAACTAAGTTAGCTATCCACCCTTAATGACATACTGTTCATTCCTTGAATTCTGAGGTAGAGAATTAGAAAGCTTATTTTTCTGCTATATTACATGTTACTGGATTTTTAAAAGATGATAGTATCCCAGATCTTGGTATATAACTTTTAGGCAGAAGTGTTGACTGTATTAAGTATATGAACTGAAAACTGGAAAAGAAACCAAACCCACTGTCATGGCGTTGATTCCGACTCATGGCGACCCTAGAACTGAAGGCAGTTTTTAATTGTAATGTAGATTTAAGGGAAAATAACTATTTGTTGATAAAATACTCTGTTAGGCACAGTGCTGATGCTTTTTAAAAAGTACTATCTCTGCTAATTCTCATAACAACCCTTTTAGGTAAATATTTACTTTCATTTTTGTGAATTAGTAAAATGAGCTTATGAAAGATCATATAATAATTGGCAAAATAAAAATTCTAACCCAGTTTTGAGGAGCTCTGGTAGCATAGTGCCTAAGGCACTTGACTGCTAACCAGAAGGCTGGTGGTTCAAACCCACCAGCCACTCCTTGGAAGGAAGGTTGGGCAGTCTACTTCCATAGTGATACTGCCTCGGAAACCCAAAGAGGGGTCGCTATGAGTCGGATCCGACTCAACAGCAGTGAGTAGTAACCCAGTTTTGACTGGCCTCAGACCTCTGCTTTTGTAATGTCACCACCCTGAGCCCCATTACTTAAGGTGGACCATGTCATTCAGTTCCATGGTCAGCACTTAGAACAGTTCTACTGTGTGAGCTTCCCAACTTGCCAACAATTTATGGAAAAACTTTCAAGTATATAATTTTATTTGATTTGTGTGGTAGTCAGATTTTATATTAGGTATCTCCATTTTAAAGAAAGATTAAGTCATATGCTCAAGGCCACATAACCAGTGTGCAAACCCAAGTCTTCTAACTACAAATTTCCTTTGCCTATGTTGTTAGGTGGCATTGAGTCAATCTCAATTTATAGTGAACCCATGTGACAGAACTGTCCCATAGAATTAATCTTTATGGGAGCAGATTGCCAGGTGATTTCTCCCATGGAGCTGGGGGTTGGGTTCTAACAGCCAACCTTTTAGTTAGCAGCCAAGTGCTTAATCCTTTTGGTACAAGAGCTTCTTCCTTTGGCCCATAGAGTATTCAACATCTCTTAGGCAGTGAAGCCAATCATGATAATAGTGATTATGTGATCAAACCCAGTATTGGCTATGATGTTACACTGGAGATTTGGTCATAATTCTAGTCAAGTCCTGATGCCGATATACCTAATGACTTATGAAATACTTTCATTATATAATAGAAATGTTTTTAGGGAGGATGAGGTAGATACTGTTCTTTCATACAAACATTATGATAGTGCTTCACTCAGCTGTTATTATTTAATATCTTTATTCATGCCACAATTTCTGATTCAATTATGTGATTTCACATTGATTTATCTATTTTTTAATTTTAAAGCTGTTGGCCCGTTATACAATACTATAGCAGCATAATGGTATTTTTAGAAGAAAATGTATTTATTACTCTCATGTAGAGAAAGCCTTCATAATAAAATACAAAAGCTATAAAGGAAAAGAATGATTCTTTTTACTACATAAAAATATAAATTTTTTTTAGTAACAATTCCTAGCTTGAGTGATTGCTATATTCTAAGCAAAAACAAAATGCAACCCCTGTCATGGAGTTGGATCCAACTCATAGCGACTCCTCCTTGGGTTTCTGAGGCAGTATCACTACAGAAGTAGATTGCCCAACCTTCCTTCCGGGGAGTAGCTGGTGGATTTGAACCACCAGCCTCTGGTTAGCAGACAAATGCTTTAGGCACCATGCCACCAGAGTTCCCATATTCTAAATACTCTTATGGAACTCTGGTAGTGTAGTGCCTAAGACACTTGACTGCTAACCAGAAAGCTGGCAGTTCAAACTC